GGGGTACAGACCAGAGGCACAGGGGCGGTGAGAGGACTCACCAGAGACAGAGTGGGGAGCAGAACAGGCAGACTGATGAAATACACTGCTGAGGGGAGCAGCGGGTGAGACAGGAGAGATCTGCTGTGCCATGTGGGTCACCTCCCTGGCCAGGGATCAAACGTGTGGTGCAGTGGCTGCCCATAGCTTAATAGTGCTCAGGCTTAATCCACAGTGCTGTCAGGGAGGCCTTATCCCAATGTGTTTTGCTGGATGGTTTTCTTAACTATCCCCCACACTGAACCTGACAAGGGACCTGGGCTACCCTGTGACTCCATCCTATCTGTCACTGCCCCCTGGGGGCTGATACACCTGTGTTCATGGCCACTAAGCACTTGGCTGGGAGGGAGTCTGCCACCCATCAGAGCATGAGATTTCCTTGTGGGCCTGGTGTGGGTGCTAACCAAGCCCAGTCAGGTACCCGGGGCCACTATCTCAACTCACCTGGGACCAGATTTCACAAGCAGTTCCCGCTCCCCATCACAGCCCCACCACAATTGCCAAGGATGGGAGCAGGGTATGAGGATTACTGATTTAGGGAAAATGCCTCAGGTATTTGGTGGCTCCAAGTGACTCAGCCAGATGGGGGCACAAGAGGTGCTTGATACCTTCACCTGGAACTGGCATCACCCTGAGAAGAGAATGTCCAGGTGAGGTGGGGAGACACCTGGTCCAATACAACCTCTGGAGAAAGTCAACATCGCTGCCCGGGAGGCCTTGCACCAGGTCTGCATTGTGACGGTGAGCAGAGGAGTCAGGGCCATTCTTAACGAGAAACGGAGACGGACCCTTTCCTGGATTATTCAGAGACCACTCAGGAATGACTTTTTCTGATGCCCTTGCCTTGTCCCCGGGGCAGTAGGAGGAGACCCTATGAGCCATTGGAACTGTACCTGAGTCAACCAGAGTGAGCCCATTTGGTGCCTGACCCCAGGACAAATGTTAGTACCCATCTGTGGAAGAAGCTGTCGCAGGCCCATCTTCGGGCCCATGCAACCTGCACTTCAGGACCCACTACTGGCAACAACACCAAGCCCAGGGCCACCAGAGGCCAGTGTTAGGCACCCACCCCTGTGGGAGGACTTCCCGCGGGATCCTCCGGGTTGGACAGCCTGTGAGAATCTGGGCTGTCAAGCCCCTTCATCCTCCTGCTAGCCCTGTTTGCCACTGGGGTCTCAGGGTTGATTCAGCCATGGCCCTTTTTCTCAATGGGCAAGTGTGTGATAAACTGTCCTCCAGAGGGGTGAGGGAAGGCAGGGGTGTGTGGTCCTATATGTCCACAAAAGGGCACTTCTTACCCTGGCCTTGTGCTGAGAAGACCACGCATGGGCACAGGCTTGATAAGGCAGGGCGGAAGAGAGCAACCATTAGCACTAATGAGACAGGCGGCCTGAAAGCTTTTTATTTTGAAGCTGTTTGCCCACCCAGGGAACAATCTGTCCTGTCGCCTTAGCTTCCAGGAACCCCAAGCGGAAAGGGGCTGGGGGCAGGAGCAGGGGTGGGGGTCGTGGAGAAGCCAGGGCGAGAGAAGGAAAGAGGGCAGGGATGGAGGCGGGAGGCCCTGGTTTTGGGTGGGTAGGCTTCTCCCCTTCCTTTTACCCCCCCTGAAAACCCCAGGGTCTAGGTCTGCCCCCCACCCACCCCATTCTGGCCACCCACTTCAATGCTCTTGACCCAAGTTCCTGGAAGCAAAGGCAACAACATGCCACATCGGCTCTGAGTAAGCATGTTCGGGGCCTCAAATTAGATTAAGCTGACAGGGCTGCCTGCCTTGTTATTGCTAATGGTTCCAGCCCAACTCCTAGGTCCCTGCCTCACAGAAATTTGGGGGTCCTGGACACGCATCTTCTTCCCAAATTTTGATTGGTTGTTGATGACCTCACCTAACATTGGGTGCCCAGTAGAGCACCCAAAACCCCGTGTCCAAGGAGAGAAGCTGGCATGAGGGCCCCACCCTCCAGGAAGGGCCCCGCATGTCCTGGCTACAGGGAACAGTCACGTGTGGGTCCTTCATTAGACTTCATCATATAAGCTGAGAACACAGGGTGGCCAGGAATTCTCCAGGATCCAGCAGGTAGACACGTAAGTCATCAGAATCTCTTCTCTGGGGACCTCTCTCCGGGACTGGGTACCTGGAAGGTGCTCCAAGGGCTACCTAAGTGGTGGGTCTCCTTGTTGAGCCAGGCCATGCTGATCACAGTCCTGCTGAGCTGTGTCTTGTTGGCACTGCCCACCATGCAGGGGGCACAGATGGGCTTGGCTCCCCTGGAGGGCATCAGAAGAGCAGACCAGGTTCTGCTTCCAGATCTGCCAGGTCAGTGTGGGCAGAGGGTTGGGACTTGGTAGGTGCCCTCCTTCCCCCTGGCCTGAAAGATGGGTGTTTTGTACCTGGGGGATTCTGCCCTCACATCCTCTGTCCCAGGCCTGGGCCTGCGCCCCACTCTGAAAAGGACAAGTGCTGAACAGGCAGAAGAGGATCTGCTGCAGGAGGCCAAGGCCTTGGCAGAGGTAACTGAGGTGGGGAAAAGGGGTGAAGCCATAGGCCTTGGGAGGGGCTGCGAGGCAGCATGCTCTCTCTTGCCTCCGACCCCTCCCTGGGGCAGCACTGCCGGCCTTTCCTCCCTATGCTGCACCGCCATGGTGCCTAGACTGCAGGTGAGGTGTGGACTTGTCTTCGAGGGCCAACCGCGTGCCGGGGCCCCCCACCCCCGCCCCCCACCGCTGCAGGTGCTGGACCCACAGGGCCGAGAACCGCGCACCCCGCGCCGCTGCGTTCGGCTGCACGAGTCCTGCCTGGGCCACCAGGTGCCCTGCTGCGACCCGTGCGCCACGTGCTACTGCCGGTTCTTCAATGCCTTCTGCTACTGCCGCAAGCTGGGCACCACTGCCAACCCCTGCAGCCGCACCTAGCGCCGGCTGGGCGTCGGGCTGAGCCGCGGGGCGCCAATAAAGGATGGGACCAACCCCCAGTCTGTGGCGTTATTTCGAACTCAGCCCTCGCCGGAGTGGGCGGGGAGGGGGTGCTGCCGAGCCAAGAAACCACACCCCCCAGCCCCACGGCCTGGCCCACCCCGTCTGGGTCACTTACATGAGGGCCGTTAGGGCTCCAGGGGTCGCTGCGGAGCAGGCGGAGGCGGAGGGGAGACGCGCCAGTCCTAGGGGACCTAAAACAATGGTCGGGGGGGCAGGGAGGGGTTGCGGGCGGGGCAAGGGGGTCCCACAGCACGCCAGAGGGGCTGTACCTCAAACACGAGGCCCCAGGGCCTACTGGCAGCTAACTCGACGTGTGACCTCCAGCAAAGTCCGCGCCTCATCGGACCTCGTTTCCCCTCTAGGGGAGGCTGACTAAAATGTCGAGCGAGAAACAGGGTCACTCTCACTGGGCCCCGCTGGTGCCTACAGTACCAGGTGCACAGACCCGGGGCAGACTAGCGAGACCAAATGCAACTCCCGCGTTCACGGGCGCCACCTCGCGGCTGGCCTCGGACACGCCAAGTCGCGCTAGCTAGGGCGCGAGAGGCGCGACTGTCCTCAGTGCGCAAGCGCCAGAGGGCCGGCCCCAGCCCGCGAAAGCAACCGGAAGTTGGGCTTCGCTCAGAGCCCCGCCCCGTTGTGGTCACGTGAGGTGGCTGCGCGTCACCTGACGCCCTGACAGCCCGCTGCGGCGCTGCGTCAGCTGATCTTGGAGTGGCGCTGCGTGCCGGCCGATCGGGGTTCTCCGGTCCCGCCGCAGCCATGTCGTCCTTCCCGGAGCTTTATTTCAACGTGGACAATGGCTATTTGGAGGGACTAGTGCGCGGCCTGAAGGCCGGGGTGCTCAGCCAGACGGACTACCTCAACCTGGTGCAGTGCGAGACGCTGGAGGGTGAGCCGCGGGGCCGGGCTGCTGGGCCTTTCCAGTCCGGCAGGGAGGCTGGCCCGGACCTGAGGGTTCCGAGATCTGGGCCGGGAAACCAGAGGTGGGGCTTCTCGAAGGGCCTGAGAAGTCGGGGAGCCGTGTCACAGAGCCTCTCTGGCAGTCTGGGGCTGATGGCGGGCGCGCCGGAAATGGATCTACCTCCAGCTGAGGCTCAGAGCCGATCCAAACGCGAACAAGGCTCTAAGAACCACAGTGGTTCCTTCGCTCTGCTTGGACTCTCTCTTCCCCTATTACGTCCACTAGGGTCGTTTGGGAGTGGCTTATCGGTGAGAGATGTGTCGTATAAGCTTCTTTGATTTAGCCAGAGAGTTGTCACGTAGCAACGCTTAGGGAAGCTAAGCGGAAAAGTGCTCCACTTTCCCCCAACACATACACCAAGGCCTGCGGTATCTTTCTGCCCTTTCGTTGGTCTGTGGGGTGAACCTTTCTGGGGAATCGCTGAGCCATCTTAGCGAGAGTTTCATCCCCTTGCAGAACCACTGACTGAGTAGAATCTCCTGAGGGTAGTGTTTGGGAGAAAACAAGGGGTAGCCCTGCAAATCTGAAGTTCATATGCAAGTATTTGGCCAATAAGAGTGAAGATCCATAGAGAGAAGCATGTCTGCTGGAACAGGGTTTCTTAGCACGAGGATGGTGAGAGGCTGAATCCTCCTCATTAGTGCACACAATTAAAAAATGGGGTTGATTCCTTGGGGTTGAATAAAACCTCGCATTTATAAAATTAAAGATATCCCTAATCCCAGTCTTTGCCTTCTCTCCTGGCCCCCAGATAGTAGTCAAGGGCACAGTGATTGGGGTGTAAGTTCCCATTCCAGACCCCCAGGTGATGTCCTGGAGCAGAGAGCTGCTAGCCTGTGATTGGTAGCTGGAAGAGGAAGATGGTCAGATGATTCACTCTGGAGAAAATTTTCTAGTCAAAGCTTATTGAGGTTAAAGTGATTGGCATGGGAAAAAAAATCAGTTATTATTTATCCTGCAAACCAGACCAGTAATGTGAAGATACATACCTTTAAAATATTTGTGAACTTTATGGTTTTAACATAACTGCAAGCAAAGTTGTTCCTCTCCCTTTGAGAATGAAGGAGGGGAAGGAGAGGAGCGCATTTTAATGCTGGGTTCTAGAAGCCTGTCAGCAACTTTATTGTCCTCACTGTGGGAAAAGGAGAAACAGACTGAGGATGCCTGGGCAAAGCCAGGCATTTAATATGACTTTTGTGGACTGACTGGAACTGGAGGAATATCTTTAGTGGTTTAAGTTTGAAGGTGAGCATCATTGATTACCTGCTGGTGTTTGGTAAACTTCTGGGCTCTCTCCATTGCCACTGCTGCCTGCCCTTTCCCTTCCTGGAGAGCTGGGCAGAGCCTCCTCCATCTTCCATAAACACATTAGATCTTTTTTTCCTACCTCACTGCTCAGCACCTGCCCCCCTGTGGGTCATGGATGGGTGATCCCCATCCAGACCTGTAGTGTGACAATCAGGGATTCCCTTGATTTGATTTCAGACAAATTCCTTTCCTTCACTCAAGCCATTCCCCCCACTTCTTGGGGTTTGTGGCGTGGTGGATGTTGGAGTTGGACAAATCTGAGCTTGAATCCCAGCCTACCAATTACTGAATGACCCTAAGGTCATCATCCAAGTTATTTAACATCCCTGAACCTTGGTTTCTTCATCTGGTATATTAACAGCATCTATTTCTTTTTCTTTTTTAAGATTTATTTATTTATGATACAAGAACTAGGGTGTAGGCCAGATGTGCAGGGGGTGAGAGGATTCACCAGACACAGAGTGGGGAGCAGAACAGGCAGTTGTACTGAAATACACTGCTGAAGGGAGCAGCAGGCAAAATAGGAGAGGTCTGCTAGGCCATGTGGGTCAGCTCCCTGGCTGGGGATCAAATTAATGCTGTAGTGGCTGGCAGTGGGTTGATAGTGCTGTGTCTTTAACCCTTGTGCCACCAGGGAGGCCCAACAGTGTCTATTTCATACACTTGTGAGATATCAGCAAGCTATTCCATGCCAAAGACTTGTTCCAGCATCAAGGACAAAATAAATGCTAGAAAAATGTCAACTCTTATTTTCAGTATTATCTGTAGGTGCCAGCCCTCTTGTGTCTTCTTGTTCCCATGAAGCCCAGTGAGTCCCACCCTGTAAGACTCAGCCCCAGTGCCACCATCTTTGAATCCTTTTGTGGCCATGCTGGGTGGGCAGCCACAGCACCTGTGCTGTTTGTACTTCTTCGGCTTCTTTTTTAAAGATTTCTTTAATTAAACATACAGAACTGGGGTACAGACCAGAGGTGCAAGGGCAGTGAGAGGATTCACCAGGGACAGATTGGGGAGCAGAACGGGCAGATCGACAAAGTAGGGAGGGGAGTAGCTGGCAGGCCAGGAGAGGTCTGCCGCGCCACGTGGGTCAGCTCCGGGGCAGGCACCAAACTTACCCTGAAGTGACTGCAGCTCGCTTGCAGTGCGGAGCTTTAGCCTGCTGCGCCACCAGGGAGGGCCTGGTGCTTTGGTGCTTCTCAGAACAGAATGTTGGATACCTGGGACCCTGATACTGGAGATGCTCATGACTTTCAGGTTTGGGGGTAACTAGAGAGGAAGGTGTGCCCAGATCCCATTTATCTTCTACCAGAAGGCCTTTCTCCACTTCAGAAGGTGGCACCAAAGGTCTGATATCCAGTCTTTTGCTGCTGGGTGTTTTGAATTCCCCATCTCCATGGGACAGTGAGAAGAAAAAGAAAGGGAGAAGGGGCTGGGGGGAGACAAGGTACCCGCAGTCCCTAGTACTAGCTGAGGGTGTCCTGAGATGTGCAGGGCGTCGGCTGAGGTGTTTGTCCTACAAGTAGAGGTCCTCCACCGTACCCCAGCCTCCTCCTGGATTCCACCCTGGTAGGGCATCTGCTCCTGGCCTTCTCGTGTTTTCTTCGGCACTTGGTCCCTTAGGAACTCTGTTGTCTGTGGGGCCTCGGCCCTTGTCCATCTTGCTTGCTTTTCGCTACTAGACATAGGAGAAGGAACCTGGAGAGGTCTTTCCCCTTTTGAAAATTGAGGGAACAGAGTTGTGTGGCCGCAAAATCACTTTGCGGCTCAAGTGTTTCTGGATGAGTTGAGAAATTCTGGGAGCTGGGTCCTGTGCTGGGGACTGGTGGGGAGGAGAATGTGGGTTCAAGATGAACAGAGAAACATACAAGAGAAAGCGTTCATTGAACGTATAGCTACAGAGCACCCGTTTTTGTGCCTGGCACTGAGAGGCCCTTTGTTTACTGATGTCTCTTGACCCTCATAGTCCTGGGGGTGGTCGTGGGGGCAGGTCGTGGCAGTTACAAGTGTGACCTTTCTGCTTTGTGACTCTGATGCTATATGGCCTTTGTCCTCAATTTCTTCGTATGTAAAATGGTAATAATGATAGCAGCTCCTATTCCTTAGGTTGGTAATGAAAGTTAAAGAAGATCATCCACATAAGACTCATAGCATGGAGTTGACTCGTGGTAAGTGCTGAGTTGGTGGTGTTAGTTGCTGTTACTGTTGCTGTTTTAAAGTGAAATTTATAGCAAATAGACACATACTAAATCACCCATGCTATAGGCAGCAGAGCGGTGATGGTGATGGCAGGGCAGCTCTTTTTACAGAGTGTGACAGGTTAAGGAAGGGACATTGGAACTGAGATGTGGACAAGGGGGAGATGCCCAGGGAGGCTGGGGAAGCAGCTCAGGCAGAGACAGGCCTGGGTGCTAAAGCGACGTTCCAACAGGCATTTGCTTGTTAGGAAACACTTCCCGAAGGCCTATGGTGCCAATCCTTGAGCCTTGTGAAAGAGGCTGGCAGGTTATTTTATTTATTTATTTTTAAAGATTTATTTTATTTACTTGTGCATACAAGAGCTGGGGTACAGGCCAGAGGTGCAGGGGATGAGAGGATCCACCAGAGACAGTGGGGAGCAGAACAGGGTGATCTTCTGGATTGGGGCTTGAACTCATGCTGCAGTGGCTGGCTGACCTAACTTGATAGCGCTGAAACTTTAACCCCTGCATCACCAGAGAGGCCCCCTGGCAGATTATTTTAGGCATTATTGTAGTTCCAAGCCTCTTAACTTCGACCCTGAGTTCTGCCTAAAAGCATCACTATTAATTTGACAAACTAGATTGCTGGGTGAATGAGTGTACAGTTTTTCCACCTGAATTTCCCCTTTTCTTTTCACTTTACCACTATTGTGGATATTGTCAAACAAATGTAAATCAGAAGGAATAGTTTAATTAACCCATGACTAATAATCACCTAGCTGCCACAGTGGTCAAATCTTGTTCCAGTTATCCAACTTGTTCCAGTTATAGTTTTAATTACTTTTCCTCCTAGACAACATACCATTTCATTTGTAAATATTTTGCTGTCTCCTAAAAATGTTATGGCTATCTTAAAAAAAAAAAAAAAAAACAACCCTCTACTGTCCTTCCTCTTTAAGAAGCAGTAAATTGTTAGTGTTATCAACTAAGTGTCATTAAACTATGATCCGCTGGTTTTAGTCAGTGTCGGGCTAGGACCCACGCATTTCCATTGGTGGACTCCATCTCAAGTCTTTTCATGGAAATGTTTCTGTCTCATTTTCCTGGTAATTTATTAAAGAAACTGGGTCCTCGCCCTCCCTCGTGGTGCAGCGGGTTAAAGCACAGCACAAAGAAGCTTAAGCCACTTCCGCATGAGTTCGATCCCCGCCTGCCCCGGAGGTGACCACATGGCGCGGCAGACCTCTCCTGACCCGCCCGCTGCTCCCCTCAGCAGTGTACTTCGTCGATCTGCCTGTTCTGCTCCCCACTGTTGCTGGTGAATCCTCTCACCCTCCACATCTCTGGCCTGTACCCCAGTTCTGTATGAATAAATAAATAAATCTTTAAAAAAAAGAAACTGGGTCCTTTGCGTTTAGATGTTCCCTCCGTCTCAGTTAGCTG